GAGACGAGCATCATGATACCCGGTTTTTGTAATCTGTTTCATCCGGACTAGCAGGCGCTAATAAAAGAAGAAATGACTTATTTGATAACACGATTGGATGAGGAACCCGCAAACCCATAGGTGCCTGTCGTTCACACGAATCGGGTGACCTGACGTGTTCGTCCGAACGTCGTGTGTTGATTGTCCAAGGCATAATGGCACGCGGGCCGACAATCAGGCCAATCTCCCGGACTCGGAAGTTGCTGACCGAAACCAAAGATGACGAGGCTTACGCCGAGAAGGAGCGCAAACACACAGACTACCTAGCAGTCTTGAGTGAGATGTGTTGGTTGGCTGGCACGCTGGTTGGCCATTCCATTCCATCCCTGCCGTGATTTCGGGAATGCCAGCCGGTGAGACACCTTAAAATATGGGAATCCGAAAGGGAGCGCGAGCTGGGGACGAGAGAGAGAGCGAGACATGACGTCGGCGGAGTGAGCAGTCGGCAAGCCACACGACGCCCCGGTGGAGAGGAGCAGAAGGGGGGGGGGCGCCCCGGAACGTTGCAACCAACACGGCGCCACGGTGGGCACTCTGGTAGGGCAGAGACAGAGACAGATGCGTTGTGGTTCGGTTCGGTTCGGGTTTGGGCGCAAGGCAGACAGACGCGTCCAGTGTTCTGGATCCGGGGAGGGTTGGGGTTTCGGCCCCGCTTGTTCCGTGACCCCGCCCCGCGACCTACCTTTCGGGCGCCGGGGGACGGCTTTCGTAACTTCCGCCGGGCCCAGCCAATGCCGAGACCGCCGATGGGAATCGGTCCGGGAGATTTGGCCGACAGACATGGATCGGTGTGGGAGGGTTGCGGCGTTCCAGTCGGCGGGCGTGAGGCTCGCTTTGCTTTGGCGCGACCATTTACAGAGGTGTCACTAACCAGTCAAAAGAGAATGATTGCGTGCAATGTCGTGATGTTATTTGTTTTCCAGACGGAATTAAGGTTTATGATACTGGTTGTGGACGAGCCGGGAGTATACAGTTCCGCAGTCTCGGTCCAAGGGGGGAATCGTAGTAGGTAGGTACGGCAAGAATGCAAAAGAAACGTACAAAAGTTACAGTGGATATAAAGTCGCTGATCCAAGTGAGGTCTCCAAGCCCGTCTCTTTACATCATCGTCTCTTTTTTCAAAATCTTCTCTCGTGTGTTCAAAAGAACAAATCGCAATCAAAAAGGTTCATCAAGCCGCTCCGGACATCTCTTCAGTGGGGAATCGTGAAAAAAAAGGCGACTGGATAACATCAACATTCCAACAGAGCACGGTGGTAATCCCGTTGCCTCCCAACGCCGCCGCTCGCTGCTTTTTTGTGGTATCATTATACTCGTGACTTCATGGCGTACGCCTGGTCAGGCATCATCAGCAACCCCCTGGCGATAAACTTCAGGGATGGCGATGGCCTGACCGGGGGCTTCCAGTTGGGTCAGTTGTGGGTTATTACAGCAGGGCAGCAACGAAGGCGGCACCAAGGAGGACGGCCATGCCAGCGGGGGCGTTGCTAGCGCCGGCGTTCTGGTCAGGCGCCGCACCGGTGGAGGCGGATGGGGTCGCGCTGACCCTTGTGCTCACACCGCGAGTTGTGGAGGCCAGGGTGGAGTTGGCGGCGGTGAAGGCAGAGGTGAAGCCAACGCTGGGGGCGACGCTGGTTGTGAGAGCGACGACCTCGGTGGTGCTGGGGGCGGCGGATGATGAGGGAGAAGAGGTCGTCGACGGGGTGGTCGCGACGACGACGGAGGAAGAGGTGGTGGGCGCAGGCTTGGAGGTCGTGGTCGGGGTCGGGGCCACAGAGCTGGTCGTGGGGGCCTGAGAGGTCGAGGTGGTGGTGGGGACGGGGACATCGGAGGTGAGGGCGCCAGTGACGCCGTGCTTGGCAGCGCAGTCACCGAGGTTCATGCCGTTGGCGCAGCAGAAGGTTTCGGCGCCGGTGTCGTGCGTGCAGTAGAAGGAGGACAGGCAGGAGTCTGGGTTTTTCGTGTTAGTGACGATGCGCAAAACGTGACGGTGCGACGGTAGACTCACTTCCGCTGTTGGTAGAGCAGCAGGTCTCGCCAGCGGCGGGGTTGTAGCAGTGGACGGCAGAGTCGGTGGACTTGCACTGCTCATATCCGGTACCGCAAGCCTCGGCGCAAGTGTTTCCACCCTTGGAGCAGACCTCATCGGCGGGCTGGTAGGCGCTGTCGGCACGGCGCATGATGCCGAAATCTCTTGAGAGGGGGGTGATGACGCTGCGCTTAAAGACCTTGTCTTGGGCGAAGGCCTGGGCAGTGAAGGCCACGAGGGCCACGGAGGCGAGCGAACGGAAATGCATTGCGGCGGAATGTGCAAAGTTGACGGTAGATGACGGTCGGATCGAATCGGTCGGTTTGATCGGACACGTTTAGGGTCAGAGAGGCACCCGAATATTGCAAAATAACGACTGTAAGTCTTGTTGGCGGAGCGCAAGTCGGTATGAATGAGCGATATCGACAGGCGGACGACGACGACGACGACGACGACGACGACGACGACGAGGAGAGTATCGACGGAGCGAGAGAAGGAGGCGAGTACTCTGGCGTGAGGTGATCGTGAAGGAGGGTCAAAGAGTGACTGGAGGGGCGTAGACCACCTAAAAAGCACGCGACGGGTGTGGTTGCGAAGGGGAATGCGGGAGAAAGTGCAGTGCAAAGCGAACGAGGGACGGCGCAAAAAAGAATGGAGATGAAGTGGAGAGAGGAAAGTGGGAAGAGTGAGAGGACGAGTCGCGAGAACTGGGGCAGGAGGAGCAATGCTGGTCGCAAACCGGGGGGGAAGGCAGAGGGAAAAAGACGAGGGTTAGACGAGGGCAGCACGGTTCAATGGGCGACGAGGATGTCTTGTGCGGGCTGGGCGAGATATGGCGTACCGATTCGGAAGGATCCTCCTTTTAATTTTATTTGCCTGGACAGCAGCCAGTTGGAGGAGCTTGGCCGACAGGGCCCGCCACGATGACCCCGGCTTGAGGCCGTCTGCGTCAGAGCCTCTGAATGGTCCGCACCGGATGGGTGGACAGACCGCCCAGGATTGTTAATGGCCCGGAGGAGAGCGGTGCGAGGCTTCGTCGACTCCTGATGAGGGTTCTCATGTTTGGAGAGGGTGGCACTGTGTCTCAAGTGAAGGAGAGCCGAGAGACTTGAGAGAGAGACCAACAAAAAGGAAAGGGATAGACAGACACGCGACGGGAGCCGTTATGCATGTTTTCTTAGCGGGCAACGGCAGGTGCAGATACGGCATGCGGCCTCCCTTCAGCTCAGGAACGCGCTGACCGTAAGTTGCGTGTCGTTGTACGTGTAAAAGACTCAAAAAAGACCCTCATCATCAGCCAACTGCCCCAGCAAAGAGACTGACCTACGGCCTGCAGCGACCCATCAGCTCGTCTCTCCACTGCGCGACCAGGCCACCTTGCACCTGCCGCCAACAGCAGTCGCTACCAGAATCCTTGGGGCCTGGGCAAACGTGACCGCCCCCAAAGCAGGGAGGCTCGTTGACAGTTGGGGGGAGGACAAGCACCGAAGAGGAAAGACAAACGGCGGAAATCTGCACCTTTGAAATGAGACAGCCCGGCGCCAGCCAATGCCTCATCTCTCCTGAGTCCCGAGTCCCTGACCTTTTTGGCCGTGCGACACCACTTGCCCAGGTTCGCCCAATTGCGCTCGGCAGCCGCGATCTGACTGGGCGAATTCTCTAAAAGCGGGCCTCTGATCAGCCCAGATAGGCTAGCCCCCAAGGAGCAGAAAAAAGTCGGGGCCGCCAACGGGTACCTTGCAGCGCCAACCCAACCCAACCCAGACGTGCATCATCCGCCAATCGCTTGGTGTTCAGAGAGAGGCCCACCCCCATCGCGGCCATCCGACGAACCATCGAACGCCGTTTCAGGTGGGTTCCTCGTCTCTGATTCGCTCGGCCGCTTTCCATTCTTTCCTCGCCGCCTCAGTCCCCACGACTTCGCGATGCACCCCAGACCACTCACTGCAACTCACCCTCGCCCGTGATCACCCACCACTACAGAGTATGATTGTGACCCTCACACTCGCAGCCGCCCTTTCTAGCGGCAAAAAGGGCAAATGGCATAATACAAAAAAATCCCCCGACCCAACCATCTCTGGAAATTGAACATGACGACCGGTCCCAGAATTTCCTCTTCTTGGCCCAACCTCTTTCCCTTTGCAGACCCGGACCATTTCCCTTTTCTCCCGAAGCGCTGTCGATAATCATCAGACCCAATCAATCCCATTACACTTCCCCATGACTTGGACTTCAAGTGAGATAGACCTTGATGACTGATGACCGCCGGCCGCTGCCTCGTCCGTTCCAGCCAACTGCCGGCATCTCTCATTCCCCTCGGGACATTGTCTTGACACATTTATCGGATTGAGCTGTATCTGCGTGTCTCATGATGTTCCATTCCGCGAGACTTCACCGGCGCCTTCTAGAACCGAAAAACAATGCAATCTTAGCACCGCAGATCGCAACATCTGTTTTCTTCTCGCCCTCTGCTAGCGCCGGCATGGTCACGGAAAAGGTCAACCTGATTCCCCAGCGTGTGCCATTGCCACCCACCTGAATCCCAAGAAGCGCAAAGTCACCCTCCCGATTCCCGAAAAAAGCGTCCCGTGCGACGGGTCAAACTCAATTACTTCGGACGACGTATCATGGAACGTGCCGAGCGACGACAGGCAGTTCATTGCCGCAGACCGAAACGGCATTGGGCCTTGTAAACAATGCTAAACAAAACATCGAGTTTCAATGGGAAACATTCTGCTTGGCTCTAAACCGCCGTCTTAATCATTAATCGTGGCCAGCTATACTATACTCCACGCGCAATGTCTACCCAATTCTAGATTTGCAAAGAGAAGAGAAACAAGTCATTACATTCATGCAGGTACCCGAGACACCGTGTGGCGCCATTCCTTCAAGCCTCACCACCAAAGCCACCCCTTCTGTCGGGCTTCTTCCCTCATGCCTCCAGGTGCTTAGAGGTCGTCTTGTCCGCCTCCTCCCTCAACGGGTCGCCAATGACGCCGTTCTCGTCGGTGTAGCCGATCTTGCTAGCGCTGAAGCCGTCCAACTCGCGCTTCCACACCGTGTTGAGGAAGATGGGGTACGCGAAGCTGACGACGAAGCCGCAGAGGGGCACCACCATGGCGACGTGGTAGTCCTTGTGGTCCGCGAGGAGACCCGTGAGACTGGGGAAGAGAGCGCCTCCGGACACCGCCGCCACGATCCACGAGCTGCCGCGCTTCGTGTGGCGTCCCAGGCCGCGGATCGAGAGCGTGAAGATGGTTGGGAAGATGCACGACTCGAAGAAGAGGACGATCGAGAGCATGGCGATGCCCGCCTCGCCGAATAGCGCGATCGCGAGCGCGATGAAGACCATGATGCCCGTCATGAAGGCCATGAGCACGAGGCGTGGCTTGACCACCATCATGAGCCCGGCGGCGGCGAACCGGCCGATCGCGAAGAGGCCCTGGCCGATGGCGTACCGGTCGCTGGCCTCGGAGTGTGTGAGTCCGGCGCTCTCGACGGCGTAGTTGATGAACTGGCTGGCGACGCCGACCTGCGCTCCGACGTAGCAGAACTGCGCGGCGACGCCGAAGAAGAGCTTGTACTGCTTCCGCATGGGCTTGTCCTGGTAGCCCGTGAGGGCGGCGCTCTGCTCGGCCTGGAGCGCCATGTCGGCGTCCGTGACCTCGGGGATGGGCGCGAAGAAGAAGACGACGGCGAGGAGGAAGACGAACGCGGCGATGCCGAGGTAGGTCCACTGCACCTTGGACAGGTCGTTGGGCTCCGTGTGCGAGAAGAAGACGCGGGCGGCGAGCAGCGGGGCGATGACGGAGCCGATGGCCTGGAAGGACTGCGACAGCTCGAGGCGGAACTCGGACAGGCGGGGCGGGCCGCAGGTCGCGATGAAGGGGTTCGCGCTGGTCTCGAGGGTCGACAGGCCCGAGCCGACGATGAAGAGGGAGCCGCAGAAGCCGGGGAAGGAGCGGTAGACGGCGGACGGCCAGAACATGAGCGCGCCGACGCCGTAGATGCACAGGCCCGTGATGAAGGTCCAGCGGTAGCCGAACTTGCGCACGATCCAGCCGGAGTAGGTCAGGGGCCCGATGAAGTAGGCGCCGAAGTAGGCGCCCTGGAGACCGCCGGCCTTGGCGGCCGTGATGTTGAGGGCGATTTGGAACTTGGAGTTGAGGACGTCGAGCAGGCCGTACTGCGCGCGCGCATTGTTAGATGAGCCCCGGTGGTTGTGATGTGATGGCTTTGACTTACAGCGAAACCCCACAGGAAGAAGAGAAGAGTGACCAAGGTGATGGGCACGATGGACTGCCTGACTGTCAGGGCGGAAGCGCCCGTCAACCCCCTGTTGGAGACGGACATGCGATGTTGATGTTGGGTCGCCTCGACAGCGCTGGGCTGGCGCTGGTCCAGGACTTCGGCGACCTCTGGCTCCTGTTTCTTTCCAAACATCTTTGCTGAGTTGGAGTGGATGGGTGTCAGTGAAGAGATGAAGTCGATGATGAGAAGGTGATGATGATGCTCAGTGTCCGGCTGGCTGATGATCCCAAAATGCCAACAAGGTCGTCAACGTTCAACCTTATATATGCCATGCGACGAGCAAACCCATCACCACCTGTCGTCCCATCCAAAACGCCACTGACAAGCTCACATTAGCTTCCCCACGCCCGACTATTCGATCCCATCACGCACACGCCAGAACCGTAATGTCGGATCCAGCCAGGTCTCGAATTCGCAGCTAAGCGCGCACCCGAAATTCTGCACCACGGCAGAGATTTCGCACAAACTCAAATGTTCTCCCAGTATGAAAATTATAGCTCACCGGGCAGAAGGCCGCTATTGAAGCGTTCCAACCTCGCAGGCGACGAATGGCAACGCTAGCCGGCCCTCCGTTGCGTTTGCGCGCATTCTAGCCTCGACGGCAGAAACCACCCATCGGGGAGAGCGCTGCATTTCGTAGGGCGGGTGACGATCAGCTAGCGGGCAAGGCGAAACCCCCCATCCCATCCCATCCTCCAAAAGCTGGGCCGGCACTTGGATGGGAGGAAGCTTGACAGTCAAGCTTGCATGCACCGAATTTGAGCCATGTCCAGGCTAGGTAGCGCGCATACGGCCGACGTTTGGATCTTCCTCGGCGCTTCTTGGAGTTGTGGGGGAAGATTTCAGCGAAGATAGCGACGTGAGTGAGGTGAGCGCGGGGGAGGTTGGGGCGATTGGTTCGCTGTGTCCGGATCTAGCTTGGTGTTGTTCGGAGAGGTGCTAGACTTCCGGGGGCGGGGGAAGGTGGAAGGCGGAGAAGCACGAGAGGGGAGGAGGACGACGGCGACGATAACGACGAAGCCAGAAACCTCCGCTTGTCTTGTTATCCCGTGACGAAGCAACCATATCGGTATTGATGTGAGAGGAAACATGTTCGCAGAGTTATATGTAATCAGCTGGCCAATATAGAAGGGTCCTCGCGACGTGAGGGTCCTCGAGATCGAGCTTCATTCAGAATGAAATATGAAATCGTTGCGGTTGCAGTCAGATAAAGACAAGCCAACGGTCGCAGTGATTTTGAAGCCAAACTCTCCAACCCCACGGACGATCCCCGCAAATCCCCTGCTTGGCAAGAGCTTGTCTTTTTCTCTGCACGATATTCTCTCCTTGGCACGATCGTGGGACCTGGGCAGCAAACCGTGAAGTGGGTGAGTGGCAACAGAGGAGGGCTAGAACAGACATCTGGGTCGTTGAGGCTAGACAAAGACCCGTGACGTGTGGCAACCCCGGCGCTAACGTCTTCCCCACGTGAGACAAGGGCGCCGGTATCATGAACATCGGTCCGACATGGAAGGGACTAATATAGGTCAATTAAGTCGACGCTGTTCAGGGCGTCGAGATCGCGGGGCGCGTTCCGAGTCTCTGGGATATAACGCTTTAGCCATTTTGCTCCGCCATCTCTTCTCGCTGTTAGATATGTACATTCGTTCCGCTGCCCAAGCCATTCTGGGTATTATGCTCCTCAAGATTGCCCCCGCTGAAAGAAAGCAACGCGACTCGTTTGCTCCTCTGATTAAAGATCTCCCTCCATCCTACCACCATTACGTAGAAGCTGTGCCGCGGCGGTGACTCGGAAAAAGTAGCGACGACTCCATATAATATACATGCAGGGTGAACTGCTCGATCGGTCAGGAAGATAGAAAGGTCGATTCATGAGGAGTTCAATCGGTGGGTTCCCTCATCATCTTGGAAATGTTTTTGGACATTTGTGCATACTTCTCCTCGAAAGTCTTCTGGAACTTCTCGCATGCCACCCACATGGCATCGCCCTTCTTCCAGTACGTGTAGCAGTTGTCGAAAATCTGGCGCACGTCGGAGACGAATTCGTCCTCTGTGGTGTACTGTTGCTGACTCATCTTCGCCTTGATGGTGTTGAGATCCATGGGTTTCTTCACTTTCTCAAAGTAATCAGGCACGTTGTCCTCGACTGGGTCAACGGGCTCTTTGAAGGGACCGACAAGACGCGTCCAGAAACCTGTAAAAGTCAGCAAAGATATTCATATCTTCATCAGAAGGTATGAACATACCAGGACCCGAAAGCATCCTGTCAAGGAGATCAGCGCAGAAGTCCAGCTTCTTGTCGGTACTTATCTCGCCAGTGGGCGTGGAAACGAAACTGCGTCGCTTCTGGATGACAGGCTTAGATTTCGGCGCAGATGCGACAGCTGCCGCGGCTGCAGCTTTGCGGACCGGAGGCGGCGGAGCCCGGTGGCTGTTGTTGTAAGTCTTGGAGTTTTGTGACAGGGGCAGTGGCGCAGATGCGCGTCGGTTCTTCTTGGACAGGTGGTCATCTTCATCGCTGTCCTCCTCCAAGTAGTGAACGCTCTTCCGTGGGGCCGGCTCAGCGGACTGTGGTGACTCCGCAGAAGACGGCGCAGGCAGGCTGTCGAGAGAGCTCATGGCTACCACAAGTTCACTGAGAACCTCCTGCGGGAGCGACTTGGCAAACTCGGCCCTGGACTCCGAAGAGCGCATGTATTCGGCCGCCCACGACAAGAGTAGCTTACGAATGGCGGAACCCTCGGGCGTGTCTCTCCAGACCTGAACAAGCAGAGGAGTTGCGGGGATGTGCTGGGTGATGCGTCTACAGTCGTTCATGGCTTCGAGGGTCTTGTCACAGAGACCATCGATTCCGAGCTCATAGCCCAGCTTCCACACACCGATCAGGGCCTCGTATGAGGGAGTTGAGTTGGCATCGTTCGAGACATGGCCGGTGAAGAGGAATTGCTGGGTCAAGCCGAAGACTTCTTGCGAGGTCTCGGGCAGCTTTACGATGTGTTCGATAGTATCCGATGCGACGTTCTGGTTGAAGTGGTTGCGGTAGAATGTAGATCTAGCGCAGAGGAAGTCCTTCTGGATGCCGAAGGGAGTCTCGTCGGAACCGACGAGGATAATGACAAAGGTCGGGTGAGGTTGCCTTGATGAATGTGAGACGGGTTAGATAAATGAGCAGAGGAGATGTAAAACTTACGTCCATGAGAATTTGCTCTCATCCTTGGCAGCCTCTTTGACAGGCTCCGACTTTTCGGCAGCAGGAGCCGGGCTGACGCCGTTGGTGGCGGGAACCGGAGTCTGTTCCGACATGGTGAATGTGTGCTTGAGCAGTCTGCGCGGAGGCGATCAGCTAACGGTGAAAGACGACTACGAGTCAATGTTACGACGAAGAGATCAAGATAGAAGTCACTGGTGGAGTTATAGATGAAGAATGGTTGAGCCGAAAAGATTGCGGGAAGTGAGGTGAAGTGAGAGTGAAGGATGTAGTCTCGTGAACGACTAGCGCAAGGGCAAGTGGCATGAGGTGAATGGCAAGGCAAGTAGGGATGAACGCGTCTTGCCAGATGGCAGACGCGTCGGGTCCCAAAGTGCAATAGCGAGCGATGCAAAGCAGGAAAACCAGGCAACTTTGAAGGAAAGAAGGCGAAATCGCGACTTACCTTGATAGCTGGAAGATGAGATGTGAAGGTTTTGACGCAGAGCTTGCTGAGGGAGCTCTTGCACGATGACTGGTGACAGGTGACAAGTCTTACGATTGTCAGGGATAGAAAGCAGTGACTGAGTACAATACAAGTAAAACGACAGGAGAGGGCGGTCAATGATGAGATTAAGCAGACGATAATCGTCGCCGGGTGAGGGAAAGGCGCGATGATTGAGATTTTACTCCCTCGATCTTACCACAGTCAAGCTCACTCCAGGGAATGAAGGTGCGATAGCGAGGTAAGCCACACCAGGCGTTTCATGCCTTCTGGAGATGGACCGTGCAGGAGCTTCCTCGGGTCCACAGTTCCGCCATTCCGGGTTGGCAGCCTCCGCCACACTTGAGCAAGCACCGCCACATACTTACTGCTTTAAGGTTTTCAATGTCCAGTCCTCTCTTGCACCAACAACCAACACAGCCAGCCAAACATGCTGTCACTTTTCCCACGTGCGAATGCCTTCCAGATGGAAATCCGGAACGATGGGGTGCAAGCTCTCCTGTCCTTGATGAATGCGCAGTCAGTCGGGTACTGATCCTTATCCTCGGAGGTCGCCGGAGTTCAGCGGAAAAGGTTCCCAAACTGTTCACCGTTGACCGGCCCTTGTTGCTCCAAAGCGCATTACGCTACTGCACCCGAGGCCTCGCTGAACCCCCGGCCATCCTTTATCGCCCCGCGCCAATTGACCTCTGAGAGCCCGTATCTCGAGCAGGTGGGCTGCGGACCCCACACTACCTCTGTTCCCTGACGGCATAGACAGCCGACCCAGTGCTTGTCACCAGCTTCCTGATCGAGCAAAGAGCCGTTTTCTGCCCTGGGAAAACATGCCTGCGTGGTGTTCCGTGTGGAGATTGGATAAGGCGGAAATTTTCAGCTGCCCTGAATGGAGACCAGCTTCTATAAAGCATGATGCGCCGCTGCACCGTTTGATGGGAATCCGTTGTTGTTTGCTAGTCGCCTTGCCCCTCGCTTGTCGCCGCGCATTCCGTGAGAGACTTGAAGACATTCTCTCAAGATGACTCGAGCATTTGGTTTCCTGGCGGTCGCCGGCCTGGTGGGCACCGCCGCTGCCGGTCTCTACCCTGGCCTGACCACCGCCAACCACAGCTGCTCTCTCGGTATGAAGCTTATTTGACGCGCAAGTGGAATGATTCATTGACCATGTTCTTAGTTGAGCCTGTTCTGTCATGCTCTTGTGGAGCAGTTCCTGACAAGGTCGACACCTGCTGCGTCGAGACCTACGGTGGCCTCGTTGTATGTTGCTCAACAATTGCGTCTTTTTACGTACAGGACTGACTTTGCGATAGATGGCCACTCAGTTCTGGAACACCTACACTGGCCTGGAGAGCGAGGGACAAAAGTTGCCTCAAGACTCTTGGGGCATCCACGGCCTCTGGCCTGACTTTTGCAATGGCTCGTACACCCAATACTGCGATCTCA